CCCCCTCGTTAAAGACAGTATATATAGTACTTCGAGAATTACTCCAGTGAGCAGAATGTCCAAAATCGACGCATAAGACAGCTTTACGATATCCTTAAAAGTTCCTTGAAAAACGTCTTTAAAACATTTCGTAACAAATTCTGAAGGATATCTTAACGTTGTCTTGTGCGTCCATCTTGGACATCTTGCTCATCGAGACGAGCGTCACAAAATTGTCGCAGACTTTTCTCGTTCACCGATAAGAGACGTAATAATTACAGCGAAAGATTGAAAATATTGGGTAGGAATTCATAAATGACGATGATTCGCTATTTTTAATGCGGTAAAATCGGTTTTAGATGCTACTTACCTCAAAAGTATTTTCGAAATATAGTACAGTCGACGCACGGAGATTCGTCAACGGTCGGCGGCGGTCGTCACGAACGCTTCGATCGCGTCATTCGCGTGTATGCACCTCGTAACGAGTATAAATTCACGTCTCTATCTCAGGAAACGATTTCGGAATAAATTATTACTGGTATCACTTCTTAACCGCGTACGCGCCACGATTTTCGCGAGTCCGATGCACGAATTCGATCGCGATGCGCGGCGTCTCGACTCGCGTGAATGCAACTAAAAAAACGGTTGGTTAAACTTCTCGCACAGTATGTGCGGCACATACTACTCTAATCACGCCACTCATCGATATACATTACACAAACTTCAAATCGACATACCCGAATTCGTAAGTGTCAGGCCACCGTTATATTAATCGCGAGTATTTAACCACGAAGATTTAACGAGTGATTTGACGATATACCGCTTCCCAGAATTAGTTTTGACTGCTTTTGCAACTTGCTCCGAACGTTTTCCGCGCGCTTTTTGGCGTCCATAGCGCCTCGATTCGGACGAGCTCGTAAGAATTCAACCGCGAATTTGTATCCGACCAATCACGATTCCGAGCTCGAAAAAGAGCGATCTCTATTTGATAACATAACTATTACTTGACATTGGTATATTCTGATATTTACTTCGATAAGTAGGTTAAAGCAAGTGCATAAGCAAAGCAGTTCGGAACAACCGAACTTGTGCATAAGTATTGAATCAATATTTTTGACTCGTTGAAGGTATTTATAAGTATTATCACATCGTCAGATCTTTCCAATTATTATTATTATATCATATGAAGTTTATTACTTTCATGAAGCCGAGATTGATCTCTTAGAATAAATCTTTGCAGGACTTGCCAATTCGCGTGGAAAGCGACGTTATTTGCTTCATGAGCGCTGATTGAATCGACATTTGTTTGTCAGTTTGCGCAAAACCTTCGGAAAACATAAAGATTTAGGGAACATAATATCGAATTCTCCAAAATGATGGAATTTGCGAATCCTCACTTTATCAGGTATGAATTTATTACACAAGCCACAAGGTATTTCAACAGAAAACGTGAAAAATAATTGATAACTAATTCACTTAACTGACACATGTTTAAACATTTTAGAAACGTTTTATTTATCAGGGATTTATTAAGTCAAGCTGCATTTTCTTGATCAGTTCGATCTTGGTATTTGATATTTCAGTGCTCGAGCCAGCTCATAGCTCTCTCGTAGTCTCGAACATTGACATTGCTCAAACCTCTGGGTGTTTCTTAAATTATTTTTTATTATAACAAGGGTGTTTCCATAATTTAAGAATCATGGCCTTGTGAAGCTAATTTTCCTCGTATCTCAAAGATATAATTCTGCTGGTAGATGTTTATGCACCATTTACGATGTAATTATCGGTACGCCTGAAACTTGCTACGTTTGCATAATCAGCATGACGCGATACCTGCGCTTGCTCTGTGATAATCTCTCTCATGAGCATTTCGTTTCCTCAGTTCTGCAGATAATCGTGGCCGGTACGTTCCCTTGCTCGTCTTCAAGTCGGAATCGTGTCGCGGAATTACACCATTTCCGCAGTGTCGCGTAACAGTGAATAAATAATTATGAATTTTCATGTTTTTGGTATGACTCGGTAATTCTCGGTAAATCTGTTCATACTTCAAGCGAACAAATTTCCAATAGAATAATATGATATAATTACATATCGCAAGAGAATCGTATGGATAATTTACAGAGTCTCTGACTCTGTCCTCTCACCTCGATAAAATATTTCCTAGCTAAATCACTCGAGATCCGACAACGATAGGAAGTAGTAACAATGTTCCTTTTTCAGTGAATCCTACCGGCAGGCGTTACAACAGTTTATAGATCGTCGCCGAATGTCAAGCGAATTGGTCACTGATGCGGAGTTCTATTCTTATCAACCCATCAAGCAGAACGGTGAACACCTCTTGCAAAGAAACAACAATCGGAACTGCCACAATAACTCGAAGCAGCGAAAATACTCATCGTTTATACCGGGTGTGTCGCACGTAGAGGCTTCGGAGATCTTCGAGATAGGATGTGTGGCGGGCACAGAAGACCGATATCTCGAGCTGGTTTCTGCGGAATGGCACAATACGAGAGTATCTCTGAAGAGGCACACTCATCCGGCATGTCAGGGTGCGATAAAGGCGGACATAGAAATTCTCACGTAAAGGAAGCCACTCACAAATATTATAAATATTAATCATGTAGAATTGATAGCGTTGTAACTATATTTTTAGACATTTTCAATTTATTATTTTTCAATGTTATCTCATCAATAGATGAAAAGTTATTGATAGATAAATTTCAATATTTATCATTGAGCCAAGTTGTCTCGATATGTTGAAATAACTTTTACATTGAAATCATTTTCATCTGTATCTCTTAGATTGAAACTTGTAAGATATGTTATGCAGTCGTGATATAACATGAAATAATCGCAACTTTGTGTGTGTTACCAGAGAAATTCGGCATCCCAATGTACTATTGTTGATGGCAACGACACATACGGATGAACACGGCCTTGTTTCTATCTTCGAATCGATCAACTGTACGTTGTACAATTTCATACACGAGCAAGGTGAACGAATGGGTGTACAAAATATCGCGCAAGTAGGAATGAAATTGGCGGACGCATTGAAGTATTGTCATATGCGCGGATATATCCACGGGGCGATCAGTTCGCATTGTGTTTATCTTGTACCCAATGGTGGTATTAAACTGGGTGGATGGGAACTGGCTACTTTGGAAAATGTACGTATACTACTACATTCTATCGATTTCTACTATACTATATACTTCCATTCCTAATATATATTTTATACTCCCATTCCTAAATATATATTTTATCTTAAATAAGATCTGGCTCTGTTAGATCGTTAAAATAAAATTATAAGGCCATGAGTGCCAAGCACAATGTTTTAAATAATACCATAATAATAAAACGTTTTAAATAGTCAGATTATTTAAACACATCCAAACCTTTCGGTTATATTTAACCTTATTCTATATATTTTATCCATGCATACACACATCAAAACTACTTTTCAAATATCAATTGCAATTACATTAACGTTTAATAATAATATTTTCTATGAATTCATGCCGCAAACAATTACCGAACAATATTAGTCTTCGAGTACGTATATTGTGTCTTTAAAAAAAAGTACTTACTATACTTTACTATGCTACTATTACTTTACTATACTTGGTGTGATTCACATCTGTTCACCAGACGATAGCGAATGTGCTTTCGCGGTATTAAGGTCAGTTGTCGGCCGATTTAAAAATTTCACAGGTAGAATGGGCTGCAAAGAAGCGAATCGCGTCATATCCGTGATTCCATGACACACCCGTGTTTCACCGACGGAAACGGCCGGCATTGTTTTCGACAAAATGTTCGTTTCTGAATAAATTCGCTGTACCGTGTCGATGTTAATCGGGCGCGCAGCTTGGAACACGGAACTCGCGTAAATCATAATCGCAATTAAATGTGATAGATTGTTTCCTACAGGCAAAAAATAGAGGATGTCGTATTAATGTGAAATCTCATCGATGTCTTATCGCGAGCTATAAAAGAAAAGAGATCGAGAGAAAAAATTAATTAAGTAGATATTGCATTTATCATGAGACATATCACTTTGCAGGACAATACACAACGTAGCTACGAAAAATGTTTGCGAGCGGAGATCTTCAAATGGCAAGCACCGGAATTCTTCTTTGGATACGATCTTTCTACAAAAAGCGATGTTTACGGCTTATCGTTGTTACTTTGGGAAATGGGCACAGGTAAATCGTTGCAACCTCCTTTTATAACAATCCGTTATCATTATAAGAGACTGTTGAAGTTATCATCATATTTTTATCATATAAAGGAATGAAACATTGATTTGGTGGGATTCCGAAATAACAATGCAATAATATAAAACTAATTTTTAAATATAACAAGATAATATAATTAATTTTTTACCATTGTGCAGCGTGTGTACCATGGAGCGGATGTAACCGGCCACACGTAGAATTGCAATACACAACGCGGAAGCGCGGTATCACCGTGGACTTGAATAATTTCCCACCGCGTCTTCAAAAACTGTTGGAAAATGGACTGCAACTTGACGCTGCAAAAAGAACGTTGGACATGGATAAGATACGGAAATCTCTTCATAGATTACTTGTATGTATATTTATCTTAACATGCACTTTGCCTAGAATTCACGCAGCTTTGAATAATCCGAGATTCTTCGAGTGATTTTTGCGTTTGTTCGAATTCGAACTTCGTTATTTATAATTTGTTATTTTATTTGAAGATGTCTGAGGAAGCAGAAGCCACGTATGCGAGCGAATCTGGGATACAGAAACTTGAAAAGAACAATAACATTAAAAACATGTATACGTCGACCCCGAAGATTTCTCCATCTTATGAAAACGTAATGTTGATAAAGAGATTATCCGCCGACAAATTAAATCATATGACAGAGAAGCTCACCAATCGGCTCTACACGTCTACAATGGTACAATGCAATAGAGACTTGGATGAAAATAACATCGAGAAGAAGAATGCGTCTTTAACCGATAATGGTATCGAGAGACTCGCGACTGAAGTACAGAGTACTGATCATAGTATCTGTAGAAAGCATTCAAACAGCGTGAAAGCACCCGAGACCGGCGAAAAATTGCACAACACTACGCGATCTGATATAAAACGATTGAAAGAAATAAATGCGAGTAGAAGGGAACATTTTTTCAATGAGAACAACCCATCGTTCGCTTCTTCAACTCCAAGTACGTATGATGAATACTCGGGCAGCTTGATAATCTTTCATGTAATTGACATGGAAGCTACTCATCGCACCGATTTAATTAAATTCTACTTATAATTATATTAACATAATTATATTGTAACATTTTATTCATCAGATCCAACGCGCGTCAATAAGAATACCGACTATGTATTATGTAAACCAGCTAGTCACGCAACAAATATGGAGCTGAAATACAAAAAGTCACCCGGTGAATACGAAGGGAATATTATAAAACCGTCACACACACTAAAACAAAAGGTATTTTTCTCGAAAAGTAAATTATCGGTAACATACATTAATCAACGTTGCCGAGATATATTTTGTATTTTAACGTATGTCATAAAAATTTAACGTTAAGGAAATATGTACATTAAGTATAAAGTCATGTAATAATTCTAATAATTTAATTATAAAATTTTACTAATTTATTTATAATCTCATGTTCATATTTATTTTGCAATAGATATACACAAATATGCCTGCCAGTATTAAGGATGCGATAGCGCAACGTCAAGTTTTACATTCTGATGTAGAAAGCTTCTACGAGTCAATATTATGGCGAAAGGAGAAGCTAATTTGTTTATCACGAATGGGACGTGAAAATAATAATAATAATAATAATATAAATAATAGTAGCACCCGCATACGCCAATGTGTTAGTTCATTGATATGTATTGATTACTTTAATTATCATTTTTATCACGTATTTTCATATATACGTTATTGAAAACTCCAAACTAATTTTAATATCTATTTTATATTGTTCAATTGATATTGTTTTTGCAGTCTTGGCCATTGTTGCCAAAGTCATATATTAGTGTTACTTGTAATACTGGCGAAATGCAACATCCCAGATCAGGTTCTACAAAAAGTAGTGATACGTTTACTATCGCGAATACGTTTGAGGAAAGAGGTAAATCGAATGAAAAAAAAAAATATATATATATATTTTTTTTTTTTCGTCTCTTGTTTTTTAATCTTTTTTATTAAACTAAAATGTTCTACATAATATCTTGTTATTGACGCGATAAATTAACGTCTTTACTTATAATTACAGTAGATAAGCGTACCAAAGATGCCAAAGAGCCGTTATCAAAAGACACGGAAAGTAACGATACATCCATGGGGGCTCGAAACTTTCCAGGCAACTCATTGAAAAATTTGAAGGATGCCATCGAACGCGCAGCTGAGATTGTACGCTCAGGATCGCAGTACGAAGATTCAGTCCCGTATTTACAAACTAGTTGCAATTCCGAAACTAATGTGAATAACACGCAAAAGTATGAAAGCGCATTCGAAGACCTGTATGAAACGAAATGTGATGACAATAACCAAGAGATCAGTGTTATCGAAAAGTCGTCTGGCGTGAGTCTACCGGACGATTATGCGACCGCGGAAAATAGCACTGAAATGGAACACGAGGGAAAAGTCGCTCGTGATTTTGTAAATTATAAAATGTACGATGCTACGCGTACAAACAACCTTATTTGCGAGACCATAGCGGAGGTGGATTTCAACGAATCCCAAACATCAGTGCACAGTCAACAACAGTTGGAGGACTTGCAAAAGCCAAAACGAGATGAAGGAGCTTGTATAAATAGTGCGTCAAACTCGCGCAAAGCGAATATAGCAGATTTTAATATAGTTCCGACAAAAGCTGCTGATGCGAATACTTATTTGCTGCCGAGCAACATCGTAAGATGCGAGACTTGTAATTTGTATGATTTAAGCGACTTGCGAAGACGTTCTCTGCCCGCGTGTTTGAATCATCTGAAAATTACTCAGAGCCCAGGCTTGAAAAAGATTCACGCTCACAAGAGTGTAAGTACGCAAATTGTCTCAAATTTGATACCTGAGTCATTATACGATAATATATTATCGATATTTCTAATACGTTCGATCTTTGTTGCAGTGTTTGCGAGACAGCAATTGTACGATTGAGGATCTATACATCGACGATGAGTTCGGCAGCCGATTAAACGACAATTTAGTTCTTTTAAACGATGGTTTACAGTCATGCGTTATAGACGACTATTCATATGACGATCAAAATCTACTTCAGACTACGGAACTGTAAATCTCATTGAACTCGTACACACATCTTGTTTAAGTCCATTTAATTGTAAGAAGCTCCATCTCTTTGTTTGTCGATTAATTTATCTTTATTTATTTTATTCCATTCTCCATTCTTTTTTACCATTTTGACGACATAAATAAATGCAAGCGATACATGCCTAATTTAGTATGTATATAATTGTTAATTTATGACCAATGCAATAATTACATTGGAAGTATCGCTTGATTGCGTGGATTGGAAGGATCGCGTGTTTACGAACACAATATAAATAATTTAAAATTATATAAAATGTTTCAAAATAATGTGTACAAGTGAACAAAGAAGTAATTTCATTAGCAAGCGAACTGAGACGAATGTCGAATAATGAATTTTTGATAAATTGTCAATGATGTTATATCATTCTGCTATACATGTTCCTTGAAACAGCTTTGATATGATTTTAAATTATTCGCCAAATATTTTATAGACACATATCTTTATTTTACATAACATACATATCTTGTGCAATAATGACACAAGAATTATGAAGGATATCAATACCTTCTTATTTTTAGTTTGTAAAAAAATTACAATGCATTGGTAGAAAGAATATCAGTTCTCACATAAAAGTAAATATAAAAGCAATTAAATATATTTTACTGTGCTATTTTATGTGTTTTACATTACACCCTATCATTTGTATCACATATCGTGTTAATCCTTTCATTAACTATATTCAATGGCGCGGTAATCTGTGCTCTCCTTTTTCTAACTTTAATTCTACTGTTTTGTGCAAAATATAAAATTTTGTCTAACAAAATTATAATGGAAAATTTTATTTCTGTGACTATTTACTACATCCTGTATCCAGGAGATTAATCCTTTCAAACGAAGGAACTTTTCAGTTTATAGTAACAGATAAATTTAAAGGGCCAATCCAAAAACGGACACAATACAATACATAGTTTTATTTTCCCAACGCACTGTGCAGCTTCCATCTGTAGCATTATCCCAATAACACGAGCTAGCAGTATGCAGTCCAGCTCCATTTTTCTGCATGATTGTACAGGTTACTGAAAACATTTAACATATTTACAAGAGTGTCGAGAAACAATATTTAAAAATAAACATGTACAAGTGAATATCAATGTTAAATCTATAAGATAATGAGCAAAAAATATTAACTATCGCAAGATTATAATTTTCATCATATCTTCTATTAATTTAATTTAAGAGTGATCTTTTCTAGTATTGTTTTAAGATATTCAAAGCTTTCTACATGTGATAAAGTACGTAACATTTTTACTCAGAACTTAAAAAATTATTTTATGTTATTACCAATTTGAGTTACCTACCGATATATTTGTAAGCTTTCTGTAATTTCGTGAGGTTGCCCAAACAAGCCTCTACAACATTTGAAGTCCATTGATTGACTTTGTTGTGTTGATACGCATTACCACCTATTGATACCTCAATTGCTTCTTTGATGATATTGCTGACATCGTCTACCACAAATTGCAGCTGAAATCATAATACACAATATGTAAATTACTTTGAACAAGTAAATTAAAATTTAATTTAACTCTGAAATTTGTGTAACTTCAATCTGTACGTATAATGAGTGAAAGAAATTAATATAAAGAGAGAAGCATTTTGTTAACCTCTTCTTGCGTATCCTCCATTTCTGACAAATATTACAAGGGCTGCTGTTGCACGATCAAGGTAATTTCGGTAGTATGCACAATGCAAAAATTACTTATTCGGTAATTATTTAGTTTAGCCACATCCGCACAAATATCGATGAAATTACGCTTATTCGACGCGTTTTTGCACGAAACGGAAGAATCTGACAGAAAAAAGTGTCGCATGATTTAATACCACGAAGCATGCTCATATCGCAATATTTCATCGGTATGACAGGTTTCCTAACCTGTCAAGTCGTCAACTTTGACGATTAATGACTCACTTCGCGGGGCGGAGCGACACTTTTTTCTTCCAGATTCTTTCGTTTCGTGCAAAAACGCGTCGAGTAAGCGTAATTTCATCGATATTTGTGTGGATGTAACTAAACTAAATAATTACCTTTAATTCAAAATATTACAGCCTTTTTCATAACAATTAGTCTGTTCTATTTAGCTGAACTGGCTGCACTGGTCGAGAAATTTGTGCACACTGAGAATGGGGTCCAACGACACGGTATGGTCTGTTCTTTTTAACTACACTGCCGAACTAGTGCTATAAGTTAAGCCGGTATTACATGCGTCGTACGACGAGCATTGTCGGGTGTGCTGATTGGCTGGTGGATAGGGAATTTCTTCAAGGGTCCTTAAATTTTTCTCTAGATACACTAGAAATTCTCTATCCGACCGCCAATCGGCACATCCGACAAACTCGTCGTACGACGTACGTAATACTCAGCTTTACCCACGTCTACCTGGTCTACCTGGTCCACCTTAGCGCCAAGTGGCATCTACAAGTGAATTCCGATACAACGGAAATTTCAAATCTAATTTCATCCGGATTCTAATAACGCATCCTGTATACAATATACACAAGGTGTCCCTAACTAATCTCGGTACACGCGGTGCGCAGATAGAACGGGTGAAACTGAGCAGAAAAGTCATGTGCCATTTTGCAAGATTCGCAATAGTTAATGAGAGGAATTAATTATTTTGTCTGAGCTAATGATCACACTAAAAACGATTAGATTATGGCAGTATGAAATCACAAGAAATTATAATAAAAATATGTTCTTTCGTTTTATTTCCATGCCTTACGCCGTTAATTTACTGTTAAAAGTTAGAAAATACAGTCTGTATTTCTTGAAGTATAGCTGAATAATTTGTTTATTATCAGTTTCTGTTTCAACGCAACGTGAACGATAAATAGAAAAAGTTGCAGTTCAAAGAGGATACAACTTATGATTACGAAATTTGTTGAGACCAATATTATTTTTCGCGCGTATCATTTCGTCGTACTGACTGGCGGCATTTGTGCACGCAAACCGTTGGTGTGCGCAAAAGCGTCGGGGAGTCATTGTGCGACTTTAAGCGCACTTCAATCAGAGTGCAACGGCCGCTCGACTGGAAACTGCGGAACACTCTGCAACGTAATGGAATGATTGCTAATCAATTCGATGCAACGGTTGGGATTAACAAAAAACAGCAACGCGTTCTCTGCGGCTTAATTCACCGCACGTTTCGCAAAGCCGAGTGCCACTCGCGCGTCGCAACGTGACACAATATGCAACACGCGATAAACTGTTTCTCTTCCTCGGAGCACGGCGCGAAGAAACGCTCGACTAGTTCTGAAACTGTCGTCGTTCCTCGTCAAAATTCAACTTTCCACAATGGATCACAACAAATACGTTCGATAACGTTCAAATCAAGACCTTTCGTTCACTTTTACCGCGATTTAATGAAAGTTTAATGTTATCGTGACTCAAAGAAAATTTCATTCCACAGTAATCCAACGATAGTTTATTTTTTTTCCCGGTTTAGTGAAAGATCTTTCAATTTCAAGAATCAATTTTTTTAATGCTTAGATAGCACAAAGAGTTCAAAAAGAATTCGCTTGTATGTCACCAAATCTGAGTTCATTTTCACCTGCGAAAAGAATTCTTTTCGTGAGAAGCTCTCGTTTTATGAAAAACTCGAACGGAAGCGACGTCTGACAAATCCGCGGCGCGATCCGTTCGAAGTAAATTTGGCAAAGCCAGAAACCACGGGCATCGCATTCTCAGAAAGTGGTTAATGACTCTCGATGCATTTTTACGAGCCGATTCCGACAGGTAGAAGGCATTAGGGCTGAACTCGCGACGAACGTTTCTTTTTGTCCGATCGTCGTGCGAACAGTTTCTCCGAGCCGCGCCTGGCTGACTAAATCATAAATAGCAGCGAGGAGCGTTAATTTTCCCTAGTCCGCTATGGATTATCGCAGTGCGAAGACCTTCGCGTTTTTCCTGATCGTCTCGGCGTCGTGCGGAGATGTCCGTCCTCGGTTGCGACCCGAACACCACGACATGAGAAGGATCCCTGATAAATTCACATTCAGGCACGAGCTTCTCTTGTCAGGCAGTGAGTATGAACAGAACTCTTCCGATAATTGACGAATCCGGCTGCGATAAGCGATAATCTTCATTTGAGAACGCAGAAAAACGCACATAGAGAAAAATCATTCGGAATGACAGCACATTTTTATGCTATCTTAGCAAATAAATGAACATGCAGAGTGTTTCTTAAGTACTGTATTTGAAGAATTATTGATTTTTTGGTATTTTAAGAATTATTGTATTTTGTACTTTAAGAATTATTGATATTTTTAATTTTTCTGGCCATTTTATAAAGAAATGTTCATATAAACATACGCTTATTTTTTTTTTTTTTTATAAAATGACCTCGAAATTAACTTTTAAAATATTGGATGGTACCTAAGAAGCACTATGTATATATATATTTTTTGTTACGAGGGCAGTCCATTGTTTTCTCCTGCGTATATTATTTTTACCGGTGCAAAGCCAGACAGGCAGAGAGGGTAGCTGCCGGAAGTTATGCGAACGAAGGCCAGTTTCCGTTTATGGCCGTCGTGCATCGGCTGATCCACGGTAGAAGAGTGGCGCAATGCGGTGGCACTATTGTATCGGAAAGATGGGTTCTGACTGCGGGTCATTGCGTCGCGAAGTACCCGAAACGGTTCTTCGTGATATTCGGGATCGTTGACAAGACCGGGATAGGTTACGACGTCAACAAGGGATCCGGAGTTGCGATGATGACGACGTGGGCCCTGGCGCACCCCGACTACTTCTTCAGCAAGAATGACATTGGATTGTTGCGTATGCCACGAGATATCCCATTTTCAGGTAAAAAAAGCAAATGTTCACCAATGTCGAATCGATCGCGCTACTAATGAGCATGTCGATGAGAAAAGGCCCGAAACACACGTTACGATTCAAAGCGATTCGAAAGATTGGAGTAGCCTCTCATAAATGATAATACAATTGTACTTTAGAAAGAGAACGCGAGAGAAGATGCGCACCGCGTTACGGAAGGGGAGGAAAGTATCTTGAATCGTCTGAAATTGAAGTTCGTAAATTATTATAGGGTGTTCAGCGCTCATGAATAATTGCAGAATGGTACAACGACGAAAGTTTCCCCGTGAATTTAATTTCAGACAAGATTCAGCCGATACACCTGGCCGGTCCGGAGGAGAGCAAGATCGTGGTCGACACGGCTGCTTACGTGGTCGGTTGGGGTCGTGACGGTCACGGTAGTCCCGCAGGTACGAAGAGGCTCAAGTACGCTTTGATGCCGTTAATCTCGAAACGCAAATGTAGCGCGTACTGGCCAGTGGACCACAGAAATATATGCACGGTGCCAGGACTCGGAAAGGACGCCTGTCAGGTATATTAGGCACATGACGCAAATTCGCGCTGGCGGTTAAGACGCCATATACATATATATATATATATATATATAAATTTACTGGCAAAATATTGAGTTCTTTCTGCAAGGTTTACGTTATTGGCTGCACCGAATTATACAAATGTTTTTACACAGTAAATATACGCGCGAAAATCAATTAAGGCATTGCTCACACGGAGGAAACAAATTTTGCCGGAACAGCAAACGTTTGTCAATATAACGACGGCAGAGGAAAAATTTGTTTAGACAGCAAAAAATTGGTTTGAACAGGAATATCAAATTAAATCCCGGCTTTAATATCTTTAATATTTGGATATATACGCAGAAAATTAACAGATTGATGCAATATAGCGTAAATGGCGGAGCAAAAGATTTCATGCTTAATGCGTGGACAGTATTAATAAAAATTATAATATGCAGATTATAACATCGATAATATAATACATAATTAAATATTAGGTTAATTGAGTTGATCTCATGTTTTTAAACAATGTTATTTTTGGAAACGTCTAATTTCTCAATGTCCACATATATACTATATTGCATACGAGTTTCAATGTTTTTTTATGTAGGTTTTGGTGTATTTCTTTTTTTACCTTAGTAAGATGTTCCGTTAGCCTTTAATATTTGGATGGGTGTTTGGATGAATTTATCAGTAAATGTTTGAAGTAAATTTGTGCGTTATATTTCAACGTATCTCAGGGCGACAGCGGAGGACCTCTGTTTACAATGAGGGACGATCGGCCACTGCAAATTGGCATTGTAAGTTACGGAGACGCGCATTGTCCGAGTGGTAGACCCGGAGTATATACTAGAGTGGCAGCGTTTGCGGAATGGATTCAAGACGTCACTGGAATAGAACTTTAGAGGGATTTGCTAATAAACAAGTATTATAATACGAGGAAACACTCAACATATATCCCTTCGACATTTGATTGCGAGTGCATCTGTTACTTTATTTTCCAGCGTTTGCAGAAAGAGTGAGAGAGTGAATGAGAGAGAGAGAGAGAGAGAGAGAGAATTAGGTTAATTGTTTTTCTTAAATTTCCCTTTCTTTTCCATATGATTACATACTGCAGTATAGAAAATACATTCCTTTATGCGATAAAAACTTTTTCTCGTTATTGCAAAATTTAATACGCGTATTCTATTTAGGTCGTAATTAAGGCAGAAGATAATTACAAATGATTCTTCTTGATCGATTTGTTATCCGTTAAATGGCTTATTAGCAAGAAACTTTCTTTTTACAAAAGGACTTTCGAGAAGTTTGTTAGAATTAATAAAAGTCTATTTGCCTTGTCGTTGAATCGTACTATTTAATTAGTATTCATGTAGCATAACATTTGAGAAATCGCTTCTACATTATCGATGCTTACCAAGTTCATTATCGACCTTGGCATCTTCTTAATTGTCAGTCCTTTTTTGTACTAATTTTTATTTCACGAATATAGCACGGACACGAACCAAACTACCTCATCGAAAGCGTCGAAAAGTGTATATAATCGATGTGTTTTGCACTTATTTCTTCAGAGGGCGCATTAAAAAAAGCGTTCCACAGACTCTTATGATAGGGTCGCTCTCAAACTTTCCTTCGCTTAGCCAAGATTCAAACCCTTGTTAATCGAGATCAAACTTCATTCAGCTGAGATACAAACCCGTTTGAGGAGAACAAGTTTCTCGATCATTTCGATGATATCGTCTAGATGGCTCTAGGTAGTTCTTTTAGCTGTTTCTTGAAGAATCGATATTTATCTCACACACGCACAAAATAGCGTAAGACTGTTAGTCGTATTTAAATGGTTTAAAATTTTATACATAGATGTATGTGTATATATATCGAAGAACAACATTTTCAAGATAGATTTATTTGTCTGCGAAATAATTGTATTTCTCTCAAAATTGTTGGCTGAAACTTACAGAAGAGTGCATGCGGCTTGCAACGTATTTATACACTGTAAACTATTTAAAAGCACTCGATAAGCTATCGATGCAGAACGATTTGATTCGATAGTATCGGAAGCGACAAATTTCTATCTTCGAACTCGCACTCAGAAATATACCAGCAGCAACGAACAACAGAGCGATACGATATTTCGCCGATTCGTCGCGCCGAACCTTTTCCTCCGACGCGGATCGCCGCGTCGCATTATTCGGCGCGCAGCGTGTTGCGCGCGGTGTGCATATCATATGCTTTAAGCGTAACCGCGCTTCTTTCGACGTGTACGTGGTAATCATGGACGCTGGGTACATTTAAAATGTGATTAAAGCGGTTACGGATGAGAGTCCGCGCGATTGCAGGCCCCCGATAAAAGTGCCGGGGAAACAGAGGCGAGGAAAGGTGATGAGATACGATTTATAATTGTCCGACGGTAAATGCAGAACGGAGTTGTACCGGTGTCTCGGACAGAGCTATTACCGAGACGAAGCGGCTACGGGGGTCTCCTCTGCGGATTTAACCGCCCAGGCACGATGCTCGGCGACGATACGGTGAGATTGCGGCTTCCTGAAAGCAACGGCTGCACAACGCGAGAAAACACGAAGGAATTGCACTCTCGGGTATTTGCCGGTCCGCAAGGAAGACACACGCGCACACACACACACACACAGGTACTTCGATACAGCGACAGAATGATCGCCTCGCTCATGTAAAAATCCAAAAAGAACGCTTGTCCATTCTTGTATAGGTTTTGGGCTCTTTGTTAGTAATATAATTTGACTCAAATGGATAATGATTGTTGGAGGATTAAGATCATTCATGGCGCAATTCTCCAAGTCGGTGAAAATATGGGCAACATTCTTTCCCCACTTCGTTCTAGCTTTCCCACCTGTGGTGGTAATTTTCTTCTCTCGTTCGGCGAGTCACGCTACGAACTCTGATACGAGTCTGAAGAGTCGCGGGGCAGCGAGAGTCGCGAGTGAACGCGATGAAAATAAATACATTGCAGACTGCTCATTATCAGGATCATAATTGGAGCGTTGCCCCGTTCATTAATATATTCCGGATTCTCTTAACTTGGCGTATAATTTGCGATAATTCCGGACCGGTGCGATTTAGCGCGCGGGCGTTTGAGGATGGGGGATGTTCCTTCTTAAACAAAGGCCCCCGTCGCTTTGTGCTTGCGAAGAATTACATCGGCCGGACACAGGGTTAATTCAGCTGATAATACGAGCGCTTTTATGTATAGCGGCGGGCTACCATTTTTATACATTTTTACACGCCAATTTCACGGTCTGCTGAAGCTATGTATGACGCAGTCGTGGCACTCCGCGGGCCCTTCTTCTCCTTCGGCCCGTCCTTCGCCCGGGATTCGTGCAAAAATTCGAGAATCGCGTGTGGGAACTTGAAAATATTATCTAGCACTCCTCTTCGCTCTTTTCACCGGCAAGACGATATGGAACGTGAACATTCCCGGGTCGACATTTTGACGCTACCACGACGCTCAGGCCGTCTAAGTTTCCGCCTACTTAGACGGCTTTTAGATTAATAAAAACTTACTTACTTTGACGATATCGATACTTTTCAACTTCTCTTTTGAATTTTCCATTCTACAGATTGAAATTTCAACATTACCTTCATCGTCCTATTTTATACGCTGCAGCAGCGAAAACGGAGATTTAAGACAACATCCGGGTCAAAAAGTAGGGGTTATATTATGATTATTAGAATTGAAATTGAACTTATTTGACTATCTTAGCTCCTACTGTGTAGTAGAATTAAAGGTTTCACACTGGCCAAAATGTCGACTCGGGTTTCCCCACGACTGGTGTCGTTAAGTCGTTCACGAAGTGCGCTCGCCCGACGATACGGACGATTCGCGAAGATCGATTCGCGAAGATGCGTGTTATGCACGCGACACGATGGTGTCGGCTGATCTAAATAGGCGCGCCGTGCATAAACACATTCTCGCCCCGGCGAAGGCACGATTTAACATCGCTCGTTAATCCAGCTGATAATAGTCGCGTCATCAGGAAATCGATTCTGTCTCGATAATCCCCGGCATCGTATCTCTTCCGCGATACACTTTTACCGCGTCTCTCAAATTACATTTCCCGACGAATAATCAAATCGGTCGGACTGAGCCATCATTACTCACATTATGCACTCGTGCATAGAAACCGGATTGCATGCGTGTTAGAATTAATCTTCCAACTTCTAACTTCAGTTTCAACAGCGAAGATCGACATGGGGCATGCTGCGAAAATAATTTGTAATTTTTTACGTCGAAACGAAGTATCGAGCTCGACGTTAAGGAAAGGAAAGAAAACGTGCTATATGAGACTGCACACTTGCAAATCTAAGTGCAAAAAATTTTTGCCGAAGCTCTTTTCACACGTTTCTCGCTGTTTAAATCGCCATACGCGTGTCGATTTGAACACGCTTAAACGTATTAAATTAATACGTACGTTGCGATTTAAACGGTAAGAATAAATGTTTGAGAAAAGTTTTGGCTCAAATTATACGCTTGTGCGTGCAACAACAACACGTTTGGATTTGCAGTGCACTTCGTTTAATTTGTACGCTTCATTTAACCTTCCCTTCGCCAGAAAACTGAATTTCAGTCTTACGTGAATTTCTATTTCCATTTTTATACGCGCTTTATAATAACTACGATTCATTATATATATATATATATGTGCGTTATAATTATTTTTTAACTGCGCCATTATGGTTCAAAATGTCGTGCACTTTTCTCTCGGTGTATTTAAACGATTTAAACGAAAAGACACAAGTGTGAAAAGAGCCTCAGCCAAACTGCACGTTTACATACATGTCGCAACAGATAGAAACACACTTGGATCGACGACATACTCGTGACGTTCCCCTTTGACACATTTTCATCCGGATAAATATCAGCCATCCAGAAAGTTATTTCACTCCTGGAGAAATTTCATTTCGAGCACTCGCGTCTCTTCTTACGCAGAGTCTCCTAGAGCACTAACGTTATTATTGACCGTTGCACTCGACGGCTGATTCCAGCCTGTCGTAGATAAACACGGGAACGTTTTGCTGAGCTCGGCGTCTTCTTCTTCTTCTTCCAACGTCGTTGTCGTCGTCGTCGTCGTCACAGGAGGAAGAGGAGTAAGTGAGGTGGAGGAGAGGTTAAAAAGACGGCGATTAGTCAAGCGAAATCGTCCATCGCGTCTGAACATACGAAGAACACATGCGACTTCAGTTACGCGGCACCTCTCGAAATAGAGGAAGAGAACGAGGCAGGCAGAGCGCGAGAGAGGGGAGAAAGAGAGAGAGAGAGAGAGGGAGGGAGGGGCAGGGGAGGAAGCCGACGAGACCGAAAGTACCGACTCGACATTCTTTTCGGCTAACCGCCTACTTAATTAAAACAACATTAAGCCGGCCGGCTTGCGCCGAGAACGACGCCGTCCATGGACCGTGCAACAGACAGATGAAACGAGAAAGAGTTGCGGCGGCGGAACGCTAACGGGTGGGGCGGGAGGGTGCAGCGGTCGCGCGGAGAGAGCGGGGCTTTTAAATCTCGGTTGCAACTGCCTGCACGGCCGCCGCCGCGCATCGGGGGTGAGCTCGTAAAATGCGCCGTTTATTAAATTAGCTGTGTCCAATCAATCCGTGGATTTGTGGAATCACGTGGATTCGGGAAGGCGCGCGGAAGGAGGCAGAAATTCTTGGCGGGCTCGCTCGGCCTTTTCCGTTAATGAAGATATCGTGAGACCGGCCGACCTCTCCTCCTTTCTCTCTTTCTCTCTCTCTTCTTTCTTTCTTCTTTTCCTTAAGGGAATAACATATTCGAGAACTTCGCCGGCAAAATACTGATACTTCCTATCTACAATGTTTAGTTGTGCATGTAAGGTTATATCACTGACACTATAGTAACACTTACTAGAAAAATAGT